ATACACGCCACATGCATCTTCGTACCAGGCTACATACAGTATGTCTGCAATGACCTGCTGAAGTGTGACATGATTTGTTTGTGTACTAACTAATACGGTATCAGAATTTCATATATTTATACTTCTCATTCAACCACAATTAAATTCACTCTATCTAGGTGGACAGTATTTATTTTTATAATAACAAGCTGGAATGAAAAAAGCATAAATGAAATAAAAGTAACGACTTTCTACTTCTTGCCTTTTTTAAAACTGTAAGGAGTCGAAAGTACAGACAACTGTGTGAAAATGTAAAAAGTAGAAGTAAAAAGTTGGCTGAAAAATAATTACTCAAGCAAAGTACAAGTACCCAAAAATTCTACTTAAGTACAGTAAAGAAGTATTTGTACTTAGTTACTTTATAACTCTGATTGCAACAAAATGCTGGGGGCCCAGCCTAAGAGAAGCATTCCTAATAGTGTTTGCGAAGTGGAGCAGCTCTGCATATTTAACCAGATTAAGTGAAATCATATGAAACACTCATATGAGCCTTTCCTGAAGCGCCCTCTGCAACACGATGGGTCTTTGTCTCTTAGAGAAATCCTCAGTCCTTATCCAGCTACATCCTCTGTGTGCAAATCCACAAAATACTGCTGCTGGCTGCAGGGTTCAGGCGCTTGTGTGTTATGAAAGCACACTGAAGCCCTTTGAGACGGCAAGACAAACATCAGGGTTGAACCCCATCAAAAACCCTCGACTGTCGCCATCGATCGGCGGTCCGAGGAAAGCTGAATCGATCCAACGGCAACCTGGAAATCAATAACTATCTCATAGATGTTGCACATGCTGGATTTTTCTTGTTAAGTTTGAGCCAAGTGTGTGCGTGTTTGTGTGTGTGTGGCACGTGCATGTGATGCCGGGTTGTCTGGGTCTGTGTGTGTGTGTGTGTGCATGCATACAGCTGCACTCTAAGTATTGATTCCCTCAATGCAGTAAGGAGAAAACAAAGTAACTATATCAAAATGACAGTAAATTTCTGGGGACATAATTAGCATCAGGTGGGATCGGAGAGAGGGRAAAGTGCAAAAATATGGCAATTCTGTTGCTTTTTGAGCATTTGAACTCATCCAAAATCCACTTCTTTTAGCCCTTAAATCAGAGGTGCCCAAAGTAGGGCCCGTGGGCCAAATTTGGCCTGCCAAGCCATTTGATTTGGCCTACTAGCAGTTATCCTGGTTACTAGATTGTAATCTCCTGTTTTATGTAGAAATACTATCTGCACGTAGTCTTTTCAAACATTGGTCCAACTATAGATACAAGGAGCTGTAGTCAGATAAACTTAACTCATGGTGCTCACTTTATCTTTGAACTGTGTTAAGATTAAACTTAAAATACAAGTAACTTCAAAACATTTATATTAGATTTAAGTTCATTTCTAGATTTGCACACCTTGTAAGACCCCATATACTCAAATTTTTAATTATGAAAAGCCCCAAGAGCCTTTGCTGCCCGAGCAAACGTTGAATTTTCTCCATGTCCATGGGCTGGGAAAAAAACAAAAAACAAACAAAAAAAATGTGGGCAACCGCACTGACTGCAGCTTAATCATAAAAAATACAACTTTCCTTGAAATATTTGCATTTCGTGTATTATATTATTGCATTTGGCCCACCCCCCTCGGATTGATTTGAATTTTGGCCCTTTTCAGAGAAAATGTTTGGGCACCCCTGCCTTAAATGCATTTTTTTGTGTTCTTGGAGTCTCTAGAAGGCAGAAAAGTTTAATTTAGTTTCTCCACATAAATGTCTTTACATTCTGTTTGGGTTTTCAACCCGTTCAGTTTTCTTTCTTTCAGGAAATCAAAGACAATGTCATTATCTGTATTTTTTTGGTCTTTGGGTTGTGATTAAATTTATTCTCTTTTTTTTTTTTTTTTTTTTTTTTTTTGGTACCATAAGGCTCCACTTGTAGATGGCTTGTAAATAGTTTATAGATAGGTTAACAATTCTTCTGTAAAGACTTTTTAAATCATTGATAAGTATTTGTTATTCATTAATTAAAGAAGGGAAAGAGACAATTGTCAAGTTTCTTGCCAAATAGTGAGCCAGATCTGTTAATGTACATATTACATCTAAAGGTGCTTATTAAACATTTCAGACTAGTTTACTACCTTGTAAGCACAGTAATTTATTGAAAACACATATTTTACTGTATTACCGCATTATGCATATCCACAGTAATCAAAGGGAGCCTTATTGTAAAGTGTAAAACAGTATACTATTTATCAATGACTAATAATGTCACAATAGAGCCTTATAACTGATTTACACTTTACAATAAGGCTCCTTTATGGCCTTTATACAAGTTTTTTAATCATTAATAAATAGTGTACCTACTGTCTTACATTTTACAATAAGGCCCCCTTTGACAGTTGTTAATATTTATAATTCAGTTTTATTTTTTAAACACGTGTTTCCAATACGCTTGCAAACCTAGTAATATGTACACAAACAGATTTGGCTCACTATTTGACAAGAAACCGGACAGTTTTTTTTTCTCTTTCCTGTTATTAATTAATCCATAACAAACATTTATTAATGATTTATAAAGTGTTTACAAATGAATTAATAACTTATCTATAAACTGTTTGTAAGCCATCTATAAGGGGAGTCTTATTGTAAAGTGGTACTCCTTTTTTTCTATCCATTTCTGAAGTATTATGTCTCAGTTTTTGCGGTGGAGCTTCAATATAAGTGACTTACCGAGTGCAGTTTGGTGGTTTTCATTCTCCTCTGGCTCCAACATCTGAGGCTTGATGAACAAGTCTTGTTGTTGACATCTTTTAATGAATTTGTAGATAAAAGTTTCTGCGCCGCTGTATGGTCGTAAGAATGGATTGATTTGGGAAGCTGGATGGGGGGGCGGGGTGTAAAGTTTGGATTTAAAGAGACAGCCTCAAAACAAGTTGATCTGAGACACATGGCAGAAAAGGGGTAACAGAGGGGCTTGTGGAGTTACAATAAAGAGGTTCCACTACAGACCCCATCTTCTTTAACCAATCATGTTTGGAGTATGGCTGGTGGCATTTTTTTGAAATTTATTTCATGTTCCRGACTTGAGGCGTTTTGACGTTGACCCTGACGTGGAATTCAACAAACACAGCTGAGTTTGTTCAGTGGCCCAACATTATTGGCTCAGACACAAGTCAGACAGATAGGCTGCAGAAGCAGCCACTGCAACTGTACCTGCAAGAGCAAATAATGCTCAACGCTGGCTGTCCAAACAAAGCCCCCTCCTCCACCCTCATGGTGTAATACATGAAGAATGGGTCAAACTTAGAGTTGTATTAAAGAAGTGGTCTCTGAGGGGTCACAGATGGGCCACGTGGTTTAAAATGCCAGCCGGCTGCTGTTACACACTGTTTATGTGATAAGTTAAGAATAGGCTCATGTTTGCTGAACACTCGACACAGGAGCCTCTTTCACTCCCTCGTCCRCACTCGCACTGAGTTCAGCTGCAGGACAGTGGAGGCGGTGCACCAGTTATCGTACTGAACACATTCACAGCAAATTAGGTGACATATCGTTTTTTTTCTGCAGCAGGAAATGTCTTGTTTTCCTCAGAAGCTGAAAGTAAATGTTTTTATTTATTTTAAATCTTTTATTTTTTTTGCACTTCACATTCTGATTGTAACAAAATGTTTTAAATATCTGCAATCAAAGTGTTCTTAAAATATTTCTGCTGCCTCTTTGGATTCAGTGAAATTCATTAAGTGAATTCTTTCTTAAAAGAATGCATGGCTACAGATGCAATAATTAAGTTCACTGCATTTATAAACCTTTTAAACTCTTATATCATTAAAACTCTGCTCAAAGTTTTCTGAATAGTTTTTTTAGAAGATGTGTTAAACTAAGTAATAT